CAAACTTTTATGTTTGCTAAGTGTCCCCTCTGCTCTTGTTTTTGGCTTAGTTTTTCAATGTTGTGAAACTGTGCAGCCCTTCAAATTTTCAATTAGGACAGCACATACTTAAATGACAGCTTGATTTTCTCCCCCCATGGTCTTCCCAGACAATGTGAAATTAGTTAGATTCTCTGTGGCTTTTAAATAAAACTTCAACGGTATATATTTGTAAATGGCCAGATCAGCATGATAAATTGTATCATTAAATTACTCGTTTTAGATATTCCAAAAATAAAAATATAAGAAAGAATAATATACAATATTTTTGTTCGATCTCCTGGGGGGAAGAATGATAGGGCTTAATGTGAACACTTGGACTTGCAAAGACTGAGCTGAGCCCCCTGCTTTATGCCAGGCTATATACAGGAAAGAACTCTAACATTGAGGAACATGGTCCCTACCCTCAGAAATCTTACCAGTCTAGGGAAGGAAAAGACATTAATAAGATAAATCACTCTTGTAACCACATACTATAAATGCAATCTGTGGTTAAATCTACAAATAGAAAACCAGCAGTACCACAGGCCATCACGCTCCGGGTAGAGGGTTTCAGTTATTAATTAAGTGGAAGTGAATAGTTGAGGGCTGGGCTGGCAGGTGGGAGAACTAGGACCTTAGGTGTGGAGGGCCATTCCACAGGAAGAAGACTAGCATTGGTGCAAAGGCCAAGTCCGAAAGGAGAGAGTGGAGTGGATACAGCTTACGTGTCCACTGTTCTGGTCTAGGGTGTGGGTTGAGGGGAGGCGACCTCAGTGGTAACAAAGGGGATGAGCGGAGCGAGGCAGATGAGAATGGATCGTGAACAGTGACACGCGCTAGTAGGTATAGACTGAAGAGAGCAGTAGAACACAATAAACAATTGGGAGTATTTGATCTTTCACTCCGTAAACCAGGCGACCAAACATTACCATGTCAACTAAGTCCATAAAGGAAAAATACAGATCATGAGAAGTTCCTGGCCGCAGTATCCCATGCTGTAGAAGCTGGACCGATGATTTGTTTTTTTTTTTTTTTTTTTTTTTGCAAAAAGAAACCTTTATTTACTATTTTTTTGATTGCCACTTATGTTTCTTGCCAGATGCCTTTGGAGCAGTGTGCTTTCTGGGGGAAGCTTTTGTGCCCGTTCTGGCTTTTTGAGGAGGCGCAGCTTCCTGGCCTGGTGGGGCTCTTCTGGGCGAGGAACCTTCTGGGCTGGAGCCCTTTTTACTCGCGGTGGTCCATCTTTTTTGCTGGAACTTTACAGCACGCACAGCAAGCCAGCAGCAGCCAGCCAAGTACCCTTTAGTACCAGGTGCTTTTTTTGGGACAAGAAGCCTTTCAGGAGAGCTGCCTTTATTGAAGTTTCCTTAACTTCATTCTTGATTATTCCTGTTCCTCATTTTTTTTGTACTGTGCCTTCATACTTTGAAAAACGATCCAAAATCTGTAAATCATGTGGCTTTCCTTTACTGCTGGCTTCATCTTCTGGCCCATCGTGTGGCTGCCAGGCATTTTTGTATTGATGTCTGTCCTTCTGCACGGCCTTGTCGGACATACTCTGCATGGCGGGCACTGTGTTGGAAACCTTCGAGGATGAAATCAGGAGCCTGCATTGCACTTGAAAGGCATGGCTGTCTCCATCACTTGAGTGCAAGGTCGCACTCGACCAAAGCCCTGTTCTGCATCAATAACATCGTCACAATCCGCGACCAATTGTTTCACGGCATCGAGGTCGCAAAGGAGACGTAGGCCACGCCGGCCAAACCGTCCAGGAAGCGCCTGAACACCATGTTGGCCGGCGGTTAGGCGGAGAAGGAGAGTGGACATGAGTTCTCTATACCTCCGGAAAAATACTTCTCAAAAGAAATGTGCATTGCTAAATTACAACACTGTCTAACTGATCCAGACAAAATAACCACTAAAAAATGCTGGACAAAAACCTGTTAACTATACGATAGCAGGAAAAAGATTATGATATAACAAATTTGTAGGAGTAGCAAAATACATGAATTACGAGATACAACGTGAAGTTCTCTTTCTCTTCTCTGCTAACTAATAATATTGCTGTTTTGTTTTGTTTTAGGGTTTTTTTTTTTTTTTTTGAGAAGAGTCTTGCTCTGTCCTCCAGGCTGGAGTGCAATGGTGTGATCTCGGCTCAATCTGCACACCTACCGCCCTCCCGGTTCAAGGGATTCTCCCGTGCCTCAGCCCTCTAAGCAAGCTGGAGGACTACAGGCGTGTGCCCCACGCCTGGCTCTAATTTTGTATTTTTGGTAGAGATCAGGGTTTTGTCAGTGTTGGCCAGGCTGTTCTCGAACCCCTGACCCAGGTGAATCCGCCCGCCCTTGGGCTTCGCCAAAGTGCGGGATTACAGGTCGTGAGGGCCACTGCACCACCAGCTATAGAGATAATAGAATATGAATAAACAAATAAGATTACTAGTATATTATGTTGTTTTTTTTTTTTTGAGACAGGATATTACTCTTTCCCCCAGGTTGCAGTGCAGTGGCACGATCTCGCCTCACTGCAACCTCTGCCTCCTGGGTTGAAGCGACTCTCCCACCTCAGCCTCCTGAGTAGCTGGGATTACAGGTGTGCACCACCACACCTGCCTAATTTTTGTATTCTTTGTAGAGATGGGGTTTTGTCATGTTGGCCAGGCTGGTCTCAATCTCCTGGACTCAAGCAATCCACCTGCCTCAGCCTCCCAAAGTGCTGGGACTACAGGCATGAGCCACTGCGCCCAGCCTCAAGCTATATTATTAGAAAGCTAAACATTTGAGAGACTATATGTGAAATAGAACAGTATTTCCTGTTTGCTAATGATGGAACATTAAACAATGTAATTATTAAAAATACAGTGACGGCCAAGCGCAGTGGCTCATGCCTGTAATCCCAGCACTTTGGGAACCGAGGCAGGTGGATCACCTGAGGTCAGGAGTCCGAGACCAGCCTGGCCAACATGGTAAAACCCCATATCTACTGAAAATACAAAAATTAGCCAGGCATGGTGGCAGGTGCCTGTAGTTCCAGCTACTCAGGAGTCTGAGGCAGGAGAATCACTTGAACCCGGGACACAGATTCCAGTGAGCCAAGATCATGCCACTGCACTGCAGCCTGGGCGACAGAGTAAGACTCCATCTAAAAATAAATAAAATAAATAAAAATACATTGAGAAAAGGAATCAAGCAAAGTAGAATATATATTAATAATAATACATGGAAAAGATGTAAATATCAATTCTACTGAAGTACCAATGTCTTAATATGAATCATTTTTTACCTTTCTTTAATGAATGTAATGCTGAGGTGAAGAAGGTCAAATAACCAGGAGGCTGGGGTGAGCCGCTGAACTCAAAGTACCCGAGTACTCCAGGCTGCAGGAAAAAGAGCAGAATTAGGTAAGTGAGGCACTGTCAGCCACAGTGTAATGGAGGATATTTTAAAGCAAGAAAGACATATTATAATTTGACAATTAATGCATCTTGTTGCATTTCCTTTTTTCAAAAAGCCTAAGCACATGAGAAAAATTTCAGGTTGGGGTTGAATATCCCCTCCATTTAAACAACAAACAGGGTAAGGGATGGAGTTGCAGCAGCTTTGACAGGATTGCACAGTGGTCATTCAGGGGCATTCAAAGCTGAAACTTCCTTCTGTCCCCACGAGTAGGTCTTTCCACACCCTGTTGACAGTACAATTCTCCCAGACTCAAAACTTCATCAGTAAGTTATGTCCTCAATCGCTTTTAACAACTCCAGACAAGCAGTGGCAATAATTTTCTTTTAACCTTTCTTAAGTTTCTTCTTGAATTGCTTTCTCTCATTGACTCCAAACATACCTTCACACTTTGCTGGAAATCAGGGTTAATCTTCACCTGTAATCAAGCCCCTTCAATGGGAAACAAACCATAGAACCACCCCCCTCAAAACCCAGCATTCCACAGTGGCAACTCTCCTTTCCCTCAGGTCTGCAGAGGACCTACCTCCAGCCCTCTGGGCTCCTCCACCCTACATACTCATTTCCACCTGCTCATTCCATTCCTCTAAGCTGGGCATAGAACTCTCCTTCATTCTGCCAAACCAATTAACTGTCCCCTACCAGATACATTCTGCCCTCCTGTTTACAATCACTTCTTCCTTCTTTGAAGGCCCTATGGCACTCATTCAGTCAGGTTTTGTTCTGTAACAATCGTATCTGCCTTAAAAGTCAAACTGTGAGATCCCTGAGGAAAGAGTGCTGGACTTGGAGTCAGAAGACCTAAGCTCAAGACTGAGATCTAGTGGCTGAAAGAACAGCCTCAGGAGAACCCTTCAATATGAACCCTCAGTTGCCTGATGTGGAAATAGGAACAGTTCTTCACAGGGTTAGGCAAAGAGCAAGCCTGATGAACCGTAAAGCACTAGGCAAATGAAAAGAATCCTTTTAAGCCCAAAAGCACTTGGCACCACACTCTATATTAGTAAGTCATTGCGGAAGGGAACTTGATCACTGAAACAAAATTGCATCCAAAACTTAGGGTAGAAATTTAATCTGTTGGTAAAATTTAAAATCAGTATGCTATATAAAAGAGGAAACTTCTGGCCGGGCGCGGTGGCTCACGCCCATAATCCCAGCACTCTGGGAGGCCGAGGCAGCACCTGAGGTCGGGAGTTCGAGACCAGCCTGACCAACATGGAAAAACCTTGTCTCTATTACAAATACAAAATTAGCTGGGCATGGTGGCACATGCCTGTAATCCCAGCTACTAGGGAGGCTGAGGCAGGAAAATCTCTTGAACCTGGGAGGTGGAGGTTGCGGCGGTGAGCTGAGATCGTACCAGTGCACTCCAGCCTGGGCAGCAAGAGTGAAACTTTGTCTCAAAAAAAAAAAAAAAAAAAAGAGGAAATTTCTGATCTGTAGTGGAATATACTATCTTTCCAATCTAAACCACTTGCTTGTTCTAAGATTCAACTGTAAATGAATCAACTGGTTTTCATTCTGATAGAAACTTAACATCTAGGCTGGGTGCAGTGGCCCACACTTGTAATCCCAGCACTTTGGGAGACCTAAGCGGGAGGATCATTTGAGGTCAGGAGTTCGAGACCAGCCTGGTCAACATGGCGAAACCCCGTCTCTATTAAAAAATACAAAAATTAGCCAGGTGTGGTGGTACGTGCCCGTAGTCGCAAATACTCAGGAAGCTGAGGCAAGAGAATCCCTTGAACCCTGGGGGCGGAGGTTGCAGTGAGCTGAGATCATGCCCCTGCACTCCGGACTGGGTGACAGAGCAAGACTCCATCTCAAAAAAAAAAAAGAAAAGAAAAGAAAAAAAAAAAGAAACAGAGTCTCACTCTGTTGCCCAGGCTCACACCTGTAATTCCAGCACTTGGGAGGCTGAGGCGGGAGGATCACTTGTGGTCAGTTCAAGACCAGCCTGGCCCTCATGGTGGAACCCCATCTCTATTGAAAATACAAAAATTAGCCAGGCGTGGTGGTGCATGCCTGTAATCCAGCTACTCGAGAGGCTGAGGCATGAGAATTGCTTGAACCAGGGAGGTGGAGGTTGCAGTGAGCCAAGATCGTGCCACTGCATTCCGGCCTGGGCAACAGAGAAAGACTGTGTCTCAAACAAACAAACACAAAACTATGAACTAAGAGAAACAGTGCGCAACATTCAGAGTAGAATTTTACAAACAATATGACAATGTCGGGTACCAGCATTCTACAATTCTGTCAAAATGCTCAAGTTTTCTGTCATCTGGCAATTTTACTTAACTCTCTTCTTCCCCCTAAAAGATTCCTGAGCCTTTCCCCATCCCATTTAAATTTAAAACAATTTTGTTACCAAGCTGTTAGGAATAAATGAATGAATGTATGCTAAATAAGTGTTCTTAAATGGATACAGAAATTCACAAAAAGATTCTTAAAATATTTTGACTGCAGATAGAAGATAAGAGTTTGAAATAATAATACTGTTAGCATTTGGTGAGTAAATTATACGGTACAAGTCAAACAAATCTGTCAAGTGCTTTAAAAAATAAAAAAGAGGCCAGCAGCGCTGGCTCATGCCTGTAATCCCTTCAGATCACTTGAGGCCAGGAGTTTGAGGCCACCCTGGCCAGCCTGGTGAAACCCTGCTCTACTAAAAATACAAAAATTAGCTGAGCATGATAGTGGGTGCCTGTAGTTGCAGCTACTTGGGAGGCTGAGGCAGGAGAATTGCTTGAACCTGGGAGGTGGAGGTTGCAGTGAGCAGAGATCACACCACTGAACTCCAGACTGTGGAACAGAGTGAGACTCTGTCTCAAAAAACCAAATAAATAAATAAGAAAGCAACCACTATCGATGTAGAAGCTACCAATACCTAACACAATGATGACCAAACAATACTGAAATTAGAGGAGCCAGAAAATTAGTCACTGAAAATTAAATTACCATTGCTCAGTCCTATTCCCTTTCCAATCAACTTAATATCCACTGAAATTAAAATGACACTGGCCAGGTGTGGTGGCTTATGTCTGTAATCCCAGGACTTTTGGGGGCTGAGATGGGAGGATCACCTGACCTCAGGAGTTCAAGACCAGCCTGGGCAACATGGCAAGATCTCATCTCTACAAAGTAAAAATAAAAATGACACTGGTTGTGTTAGAATACGTTGTTCACAGTAATCGACTTCATTTTCCTCTCTGTATTTAAATTGGCAGGAAGAATATTCAAGGAAGAGGGATTCCACAATTGGAGTAACTGAAGTAAGCAGAATTTCTTTTTTCTTTTTGTGAGACAGAGTCTTTCTCTGTCGCCAAGGCTGGAGTGCAGTGGCGCGATCTCGGCTCACTGCAATCTCTGCCTCCCGGGTTAAAGCAATTCTCCTGCCTCAGTCTCCCGAGTAGCTGGGATTACAGGCGCCTGCCACCATGTCCGGCTAATTTTTTGTATTTTTAGTAGAGATGGGGTTTCACCATGTTGGCCAGGCTGGTCGTGAACTCTGATCTCATGATCTGCTCGCCTCGGCCTCCCAAATCGCTGGGATTACAGGCGTGAGCCATGGGGCCCGGTAGAATTTCTTAACATGGTTTGCAAGGAAATGACATAGAGCTCTTAATCTCCCTTTATGGGATCTCCCGGAAAGTTCATTTCAGTTTTTTAACTACATTCATCATTTATAAGGTAAATATTGTAGTGCTTACCTGGATAGAAAATTCTAGACCCTATCCTGCCTCAATATTGTGACTATCATATACAGAATAATCCCAGTTCTGCAGAATAAATGTGAATGACCCAATTAATAACAGGAAAGGGCAAAACTCTGCTGCTTCAGAGCCATGGCATCATCCTTTATCCATATTTATTCTTTTAAGTATTCATTTAAAAAAAAAAAGCTACAGCCAAATTAAGGAGCCAATATCTTTAAAATGTTCTATCATGAAAGAAAAAAGTTTCAAAAAATGACATTAAATAGTTAAATGTTTGAAGTTGTAAGCCCTAGGTAGATACTGAAGTTTCAATTCAGGAACCTTAAATATTGCTTTGAGGAAGGAACATGATAGACAAGAATTTGGGGAGCCACAAGGCTGGGCTATCATCCAGTCTCCACGTAGGTAAATCACAGCCTCCCTGTACCTTAGCTTCTTAACCTGTTCGAAGGATCTACAATTTCCATCTACCTCACACGGTTGTTTGGAACATTAGAAATAAGCACTTGAAAACTAAAGAGCACTTGACAATGCATAGTTTATGCATTACTTCTTTGCTAATAACAACTAAAGTATTTCAGGGTTTACAAAGTTAAGAATTTTTAGTATTCACCCTTTCATGTCTTTCTACGATGTTGAAGTAAATTAAAGGCAAAACTGTTGTCCTAGAAATTGTTTCTGGGCTCAGAGTCTTGTCTTTGTTTTGTTTTGAGATGGGGTCTCACTCTGTCACCCAGGCTGGAGTGCAGTGGTGCCATCATAGCTCATTGTAACCCCAAACTCCTGGCTCAAGCAATTCTCCAGCCTCAGCCTCCCAAGTAGCTGGGACTACAGGCATGTGCCAACATGTCTGTCTAATTTTTAACATTTTGTTAGAGAGACAGGGTCTTATTTTGTTGCCCAGGCTGGTCTTGAATTCCTGTTTTCAAGCAATCCTCCCACCTTGGCCTCCCAAAGTGCTGGGATTACAGGCCTGAGGCACCTCGCCGGACCTCTTAGAGTCATATTTTACGAACATAAAACCGTGGTTGATGATTAGCAATCTGATATTGGTAGGTTTGAGATATCTAAGCCAAATAAAATATTTTCCATTGGTTAAAAACTTCCACTCTTCGGCCGGGTGCGGTGACTCACGCCTGTAATCCCAGCACTTTGGGAGGCCGAGGCAGGCGGATCACGAGGTCAGGAGATCGAGACCATCCTAGCTAAGACGATGAAACTCCGTCTCTACTAAAAATACAAAAAATTAGCCAGGCATGGCGGCACATGCCTGTAGTCCCAGCTACTCAGGAGGCTGAGGGAGGAGAATCGCTTGAACCCGGGAGGTGGAGGTTCTAGTGAGCCGAGATCACGCCACTACGCTCCAGCCTGGACAAGAGAGAGACTCCATCCCAAAAAAAAAAAAAAAAAATTCCACTCTAAGTAATTCAGTATCAAATCATCTGAATAGGCCTTTGAAACAATTCAACTATAGGATTTCTAAAAAAATAAATAAATAAAGATACAATTAGAACATTCCTTTTTCTAACAATAGAATAAGCATATATGAATAGAGTTCCATATACATATAACAACAGTTTACGTCAGCCGGGCACAGTGGCTTACACCTGCAATCCTAGCATTTTGGGAGGCTGAGGTGGGTGGACCGCTTGAGGCTAGGAGTTCAAGACCAGCCTGGTCAAATGGTGAAACCCCGTCTCTACTAAAAATACAAAAACAGCTGGGCGCGGTGGCACATGCCTGTAATCCCAGCTACTCAGGAGGCTGAGGCACGAGAATCGCTTGAACCCAGGAAGTGGAGGTTGCAGTGAGATGAGATTGTGCCACCACACTGGGAGACAGCGCGAGACTCTGTCTCAAAAAAAAGTTTATGTCAGTAGAGAATATTATTTATTTCAGGACATCGTTGCTTCCCAAATAATGAATGCTAATTATATTATTTTCTAATGGTCCAAAATGCTCACAAATGTCTGAATTAGAGACAAATTTATAACTAATCAATATTTTTTTTCCTTCCTTAAAATCCAGATCCTACACAAGAAATTTTTTTTTTTAAACAAGCAGGAAATTATCACACACGCTCCTACAAGATGTTACAAACACATCTAATAGACATTAAGTCAAGCAAAAAAACACAATCCTTCATTATGTCAAACCTTAGAAGTGCCATGAAAACATTAATTATTTTGACCCAATTTTGATATACTTAAATTTAAACACACTTGATACTGAAATCCATATTGATAAAAAATGTAAACTGAGATAAGGCTCTTGACCAAAACAAGTATCTTTCTTAGTAAGATGTCTTTAAATTAGCAAGCTCCTTCACATATTTAAACTGTATAGGGTTTTTTGTTTGTTTTTTGGAAAAAATAAGGAATTTGAGTAAAAAGTTGAGTATCAGAGATAGCTCTAGTGACGACAATCTAACTCACCCTTAGCTGTAATTCCTCCCCGATAACTTTCCAGCATTCTCTAGTCAAGGCACTGTTTAGTTTTCATCTTCTCTCTACTGTCACCATTATAAGCAGATAAACTTTTAATTATTAAATTAAGGCCTTCTGAGAGCCACATGAAAAAAGATGTGTTTTCTTCCTCTTAAGGCCTTAATTGGGAAAACTCAATTATTCAGAGCAGTAACTGGGGGAATTTTGCCCCCTAAGGGGTATTTGGCAAGGTCTGCAGATATTTTTGGTTGTCACAACTGAGGGGAGAAAAGGGTGCTACCAACATGCAGTGGGTGGAGGCCAGGGATACTGCTAAATATCCTGCCAAGAACAGGACAGTCCCCCAAACCACAGAATTATCTGACCTCCAATGTCAACTGTGCCAAGGTTGAGAAAGCCAAACTTAGCAGAATATTCAAAAGCTGATTGTGCTCTACTCCAGGGACTCCAAAAATTCCTTAACTTTCCTAATCATTCAACCGTCAAAACCACGACAGTGGCTTCATTTCCGGATCGAGAATTCTGTGTCTATGTTATAGGCAATGTGTGTGAAACTGACACATTTTCTAGGCTGTGCTATTTGGTATATTTTGCAAGACAAATGGTTTCACAAGTGTCATGCTGGGCTTGACTAGTGAGTTATTTCACAATTAATCAAGTACTATCTATCTCTTGCTAATGAGACAATCTCATCTCAGCGAGAAGCCCAGCAAAAGATGACACTAACCCGATAAAAGCCACAGCTTTTGGGAGGAAGTCATTTTAAAGGCTGACAGAAGTGATCGAGGGACCCCATCTTGGTAGCACTCTTGTGGTTCCCATTTTAAAGGCAGTCCAGCTTAATCACTGTTGTACATCACTCTAATTCAGTGGGCTGCCAAAAAACTTCAATGTAATGTTTTAAATGTCATCAGCAGTAATATAATCAGATTAGTGAGTCTAACATGAACTCCAAATCAATACTTGGAGCATAGTCTTTTAAAGTACTGCTGGGCTGGGCACGGTGGCTCATGCCTGTAATCCCAGCACTTTGTGAGGCTGAAGCAGAAGGATCGTTTGAGCCAAGATGGCACCACCGCACTCCAGCCTAGGTGACAGAGTGAAACCCTATCTCAAAAAAATAAAATAATCCAGCCTGGCCAACAAATTGAAACCCCATCTCTACTAAAAATACAAAAAATTAGCCAGGTATGATGGTGCATGCCTGTAATCCCAGCTACTTAGGAGACTGAGGCAGAAGAATCACTTGAACCCAAGAGATGGAGGTTACAGTGAGCCAAGATCACGCCACTGCACTCCAGCCTGGGTAACAGAGTGAGACCATCTCAAAATAAATAAATAAATAAATAAATAAATAAATAAATAAAATAGAGTACTGCTAAAAGCAGGTCTGTCTGATTCCTGATTCTTCACCATTTTGCTGTGCCATCTCGAGTCGCTCTGGCTGTAACCCACTGCAGATCCATGTCAAAATCCACTTATCACAACTTTACTATTAGAAGGAATCTCAAGGACACCCTGGCCCAGGCCCCTGATGCCCAGGAAGTAAGTAACCCGCCCCAAGTCACAGACCCAGTGAGTGTGCCAAAGGGATCAGGCCCCAGTACCCTGTCTCTTAATATAGCCCTCACCCACCAGCCTGCCCAGGGAAAACGAGAGGCAGGCCTCTGAGGTGCACAGACATCCATCTGCTATCTATGTAATTAAGGAATATTTATTCTGATGCATAGCTAAGAACTATAAGCAGAATAACTAGATATTCATACTGCTGCTTGGGGAATCTCTGCTAACATTTTACACATATGTAGAGTTTCTAACACGATTGAAAAAAGCTATACTGATGTTCTGGTGAAAAAATTTGTATCCAATCTACACAGAATATAAATAGTGCGAACAGTAAAATTCAACTAGCCACAATTCTAAACTGTCGGGAAGGTCTGGATTTACATGGTTTTTTATCTCTGTCAGATATTTATGGTCTTGATTTTGTCGTACCTAAGTATCTTTTTACTTGTACTCAAGTATGATTTTATACTTGCTCCAGTGAATTTTTTGCAGAACTACTTTTACAATTTTTGAGGTTACATATTTTAATAATCCCAATACTGGCCTTACAATAAGAAGTCATTCTTAACCAGCATTAAAGATCCTATAGGGTTGGGCATGGTGGCTCATATCTGTAATCCCAACACTTTGGGAGGCCAACATGGGAGGATCACTTGAGGCCCAGAGTTCAAGACCAGCCTGGCCACCACGGCGAAACCCTCTTTAGTAAAAATACAAAAATTAGCTGGGCGTGGTGGCACATGCCTGTAATCCCAACTACTTGGGTGGCTGAGGCACAAGAAGCACTTGAACCCGGGAGGGGAGGCTGCAGTGAGCTGAGATCACACTCCAGCCTGGGTGTCAGAGCAAGACTCTGTCTCAAAAAAAAAAAAAAAAAAAACTATAAAAATAATTTACCAAGGGTTGAAGTTGGCAATGGGGAAGCAGGAAAGAAGCTACATTAGTAAAGTTAGAAAACTTTCTGTAAATAAGACCTTGAAATAGTTACATACTTCATAACATGGAAGGAAACATATTTCCAGTTTTCAAAAAAATCAAACTACAACTAACAAGAAAAACCAGGTATCTCATAGTACAATGCTATGAGAAGTGTCAAATAATATTCTTAGAAATTTGCAGCTGCACAGAAATTGTAAGTTAATTCTCATCTACTCTAAGTTAATTGTGAGGCAAGATGAAAATCTGTTGAAAATTCCCTAACAAAAAAACAAAGATTTTGCTAGTACTCTATTCTCTTAAAACTCTCTTGGACAAACCATCCTTACAGTCATATCTCAGAAAGCATTTAACTGGGGCTGATGCATCACATGACCTTTGACTTGCTGCAATTCAGGAGGTTTTTTTTAAAACCCCTTTAATACAAACAATCCAATACAACCCAGTGAAAGGCCTTGAGTATGGAGGAGGAGATATGAAAGACAAGTACCTCGTAGTTTGAGAGAAAATCTAGTAACTCTGATTGAGATGGGATGTAGAGAAGTGGTTTCATCACCCGGCGGACAAACTTCTCAATGTAAACAGCACTCATGGGGCCTTTGTATTCGATTGGTCCAAAACTAGTACCAAAAAATAAAAATAAAAATAAAAATAATAAAAATAATACACCATGCATTAAGCCTGTAATGTAGAACTAAAATCATCACCACCACAAAATGAAAATGTCTTGCTTTGGGATCCAACCAAGTCACAGATCAGTAGCCTGCTTTGCTCAGGAGGTGACCAGAGAATTAAGAATAAGCATTTTAGGTGAGGAGAGGCGGAAGCAGCCCCTATCCTTCTATGATCTTGAATTCAACTGCAAACTGAATTGCCAAACAAAAAACATTTATTCTTGTCTCTTAAAAAAAAATTAATTCCCACAATATTTCTTTTAAAACCAAAACAGAAAGACAACCCTGGAAATTGACCTCATGCTAAGGGATTCCAGGATTTAACTATACAATTCAATGTAGGTGGGCAGATTTTCCTTCTACTAGTCACTGTAAGGTAAGGGACAGGTTGAACAGTTGGCCCTTGCCCTACTAAAAAGAAATAGGCGGACAAAGGATCACTGAATGAACCTTAAACTTATTTGAAGCTTTATTACAACAACAACAAATTACGTGAAGGTCTGAAGTCAGTGACCAGTATAAATGATCTGTCTTCCTTTCCCCTCCAGTTGTGCCTGGGAACACACACAATTTGATTCAGTGCCACCAAGTAATACCACCACCATTCAGTTATCCTTCTAAGCTAATCAGAATTCTCATGTGCCTCTCTTCAATCTCACGCAATACAGACACTGCCCATATATAACTGGATGGTAGGTGGCAAGGGTGGGGGGTTATGGTGAAATTCAACAACTGCATAATCATTCTTTTCTCTAAACAGAAATTGACATTAAGCTTACTGTTAACAGTAACAATAGAGCCCAGTTAAGAATTTTATAAAGGTTGTGATTATAATACCAGAATACATGGTTACAGAAATTCACATAGACACACAGACACACACAAACACACACACACACACACAGTGATGAGATAAACACAATTCTTCAATGTGCACTGCAGAATGATGTCAAAGGAATATTAGCATGAAAAAAAGTGAAAACAGCATTCTCTACATGTACAGCTGGGAGACAGTTAAGAATTCGACCAAATCAAGACTTACTACAAATTAGTTCAGTCTAAAAATTACCACCACCACCAACCCCATCAACCACCAATAATTTTTAATTTAAAGGAAGAAATCAAAAAAGCATCTAACTTATTCCAGAAAAAGGAGCTACCAATCTGGAAACCTCAACTACTCAGGCCAAGAGGCTTTGCTGAGTTTTCCTGGTGTGATGTTACAAGGGTCCTAGCGACTTATAAAACCCAACAACGCAAAGACAGGGGTGTGGAGGCAGGCATTTCAAGGTGCATGCCACCTCAAATTCCTCATCTGTAAAATAAGAACGTTGGACATATTTCTAAAGTTCCTTGGAGGTCCCTTCAATCTTTCTGCAAAAGCTAAGCAAACAAATATACATACATATATGACAATACTGTATACCCACATATCCCAAAATGACATTTGTACTTGATTCCGTGGAACTCTTCTGATTTTAACGTCACATCATATTAAGTCCACCTCTGAGCAGCCTGAAAGGACTATACCCCCCTACTAGGCTTCCGTGCCCTTTTTCAAAGCCAAAAAGAAATGCAAGGACTTCAGCAGGGCAAGCTCATCATCCCATTACAGAGCACAGAGTTAAGTACACCACCTTACACTTACCTTTAAAACAAAAAGAGTAACTCTGAGAAAGTATTCCTGTATCCGAAAAAGCCTGTACTTGAACCTTCCACATAAAGGCAGAACCTCTAAGTTACTGGCCAAAAAGTGGGGAAGAAATCTGAAAATCATCTTAGTGGTCCCTAAGCAAACACTGGCTTGTTACTACAAATATTAAAATACAAACTTCTAATATCCAGAGGAAAACGTGGGGGTAGAGATGGAGTAAGAAAGTGTGTTTTTGCCCAAATACTATCTAATAGTTCCTGGGAGTCAATACTGTGTGCCAGACAACAGCTTATGTTACAGACACAGAAATGGGATGGAATGTGACAGAGAAACCACAAATCATTGTTTGTTGATGTCTGCTATAAATCCCCAGTGATTATGGCCCAAGAAGTTTAGAAGGAAAAAGCAAAGCTCTCTATTAATCAAATCTCCTTTACCCATTTTACCTTCAACAAACTTCAAGCCAATCATCCTGAACAAAGTCCAAAGTCCTATCTCCTATCTCCAAAACCCTTCAAGTCAGATTTTTAGACATTACTTATCATTCACAGCAGGGTCTGGGCTGTACTCTAGTACAGCCCAGGTTGAGACCAGCCTGGCCAACATGGTAAAACCCCGTCTCTACTAAAAATACAAAAATGAGCCAGGCATGGTGGCAGGTGCCTATAATCCCAGCTACTCGGGAGGCTAAGGCAGGAAAACTGCTTGAACCCGGAGGCGGAGGCTGCAGTGAGCCGAGATTGCACCATTGCACTCCAGCCTGGGCAACAAAAGCTAAACTCTGTCTCAAAAAAAAATTAAATAAGATAAAATAAAACGCTTTCCATTTTTCAGCCCTCTTTGTGACTTCAGAATTGTGGACATGGGACTGTGTACCTGTAGTAATTTTCTTCCCAATAGAAAAGATGGTAAGATACACTCTGGACTCTGCTATGCCTCCAGGTGAAAGGATAAGACACTTGGTGGATTTTTACATTACAAAACACTCTTACAATATCTGAAATACATTGGAGTAATTGGTACTTTGAAAAACAATGCTGTAAAATGTGTAATGACATGAAAAGATGCTCAAAAAAGTGAGAAAAGCAGTTTAGGAAAGAGTATTACTGCCTGATCCCACGTTTAGCTTTAAAAAGGGTGGTGGATTATCCAGCTCTTTTATTTTTGCTTATCTGTATGATCTAAATTTTCTGTAGTGAGTATCTAATATTTTAATATAGAAAAAATGCAAAATTCATTTATAAACTGGCAAACCAAACTGGAATGAGAAACCTATTTAAAAAGTTCTTACCTCCGATGATATAGATATATTACAGGAAAATAAAAGAAGTGTTTCTGTTTTCTGCATTTCCCCTGGTTCCACCAACAGTTAATTGCCACAAACAACACCTGCAGAGCCAAAAAAGGGTTTCAAATGACTGTGAATAACAACTGAAAAGTTACCAACATTTAAAAGATGAAATTAAAAATGGAACTATTCCTCTCTCACTGAAACAGAAAGTACGAAAAAAAACTGTTTTGAGTTTTCAAAGGTCATCATTTATCACTAAAATAAAAAAGAAAGACATACTCTTATCTATGATGTCCAGCCAGGACTTGGACCATGTTTACCAATCTTACCATGCAGTAAAGTTCAAAAGATTTTTATGTGTTTCCAAAAATAAACCCACTTTTTTCCCTACTGAGTACATGGAATAGTAAGCTCTCAATTTGGAAGAAGCTGAAATCTTTTTTTAAAAAAAGCAGCAGCAGTCGCTGGATTGCACTATAACCCCCACCACCTGTCACTATGTGATCTTAAACAAACTGCTTCACCCCTTACGCCTGCGGTCCTGCTTCAGAAAAACAGGGCTAACAGCATCGGCTTGCAAGTGGTTGAGAATTAGCACAGGGCCTGGCGCACCAGACTATCATTATTATTATACTAATGCCATCACTCAGAAGGACATACTGCTTAGGTTGACAGTAAGGTAGCCAATTCACACTTATTAATAAAACACAATAGATTTCCCTCTTGTGCCCAACATAGGCAACATGAACTTTGTTCTCTAAATTTGGAAGGCTCCACAGTTTCTAAGAAAAACCAACTGAGAGTTCCAAATGAACTTCTGGAACTCGGCTGCCTACACACGTTACTTCAGATCAGTGGTTCTGAGCAGGAGAGTCTCAGAAATCTGTGGGATGCTTTTTGCTTGCTGCAATGACTGGGGGAAGCTACAGTACATATGTAGGGCAGGGCCATTGGTAGATGTCCTGCTACACTCAAACCTGCTTTGCACACAGAAGAATCATCCATAGCATTCCAAAGAAGTTCAAAATGCCTGCCAAACACTGATGTTGGGGAAAAACTGTTATTATCCAAGCCCAGAACCTAGCTCCATTTTACATGTGAATCTAAAGCATGCTTTTTGTGTTCACTGGATTTTTCAGGAAAGCAACTTCTATGTAAACTGAGAGCAGAAAGGGCTTTGTGTGGTTCAGGATTTTACCAAGATTGTTCACCATTTAGGATAATCAACTACTAAGAGCACTGTCCCTATGGCAGGTAAGTCACCAACATATCACCTTTATCAGTTTACATTTGTAACTATCCCACTCACAGCGGTTCTACATAAAGGTATATGGACCCGTTCTGACTGTGCACTTATATACTAAAATATATACAATTTAGTTACAAATTACTCTTTCCCCCCCAACTTTATGTTCCAGTCAGTGCATTAGATTATTTTGAAATTACATGTATAGGAAAAATTTATCATCTATGAATTCCTTTTCAGGAAGAAAAGGGGACATCAAAAAATACTTATTTTCTAAAGTGCAACTGGGGTCCACTGGGCTGAAAACCACTGCCATAACAGGTGACTTATTTGCCTATATATCTTTCTTACCTAGCCCAAAGGTGGCATTCCTTATCTGTTGAATATAGTTCTGGTCCAAATATTAAAAAGGTCGGCCTTGTTACAATGTAGTCATATCATACATAAATTTTCTTACCTGAAATACCTAACTAGCGGCCGAGCGTGGTAGCTTAAGCCTGTAATCCCAGCACTCTGGGAGGCCAACGCGGGTGGATCACAAGGTCAGGAGATGGAGACCTCCTGGCTAACACAGTGAAACCCCGTCTCTACTAAAAATACAAAAAATTAGCTGGGTGTGGTGGCGGGTGCCTGTAGTCCCAGCTACTCAGGAGGCTGAGTCGGGAGAATGGTGTGAACTCGGGAGGCGGAGCTTGCAGTGAGCTGAGATCGCGCCACTGCACTCCAGTGACAGAGCGACACTCCGTCTCAAAAAAATAATAATAAAATATAATATAAATAAATAAATAAACCTAACTAGCAAGTATCAAATGGATATGCAAGAACTAGGATTTTTAGTCCCTCTACCTTTTTTAATGCTTAAACCAAACAGTATGGCACCCCAGGATGAGCACTGGCCTGTGTTATGAGATTCAGAATCTGCTCCCACACTTGCCTCGGACTACAGTCACCACATTTGGAAATCCTTTCTTTTGCTTTACAGAAGGCTCTGTAACTTAGAAAGGACTCTCAGAGTTCACCTTGGCAAAGTCTGCCCATTGGGCAAGGTGTCTCTGTGGGGACATCCTGCCCTACATACAGGACTGAAAGTCATTTGATTCTTAAGCTGAATGTGAGCATTACCTGGTCTGAAAGCCGACTTGCTGCTTGCTGAATTTCTGCCCTGGCAGCGATGGACTGTCCACACCAAGGGGCATAGAAGAACAGCAGTACCACCTCTGAGTCCCGGCGAATGTACTCTGCATAGTCCAGCTGTCCCTGGAAGAGGTCAAGCACTGGAGACCTCGGGGAGAAAAAGCTGACAGGTGGCTTTGCTGGTATTATCACATCTTTTGCTCGACTAAAAAAGAGCAAACACAGAAAAGATTGCTTAGTTTATCTCCTTCTAAAAATAGCTCTGTGGAAACAGAACGAAGCTTAAAAGAAAAATCCTCTTTTGAATAAGAAAATGGAGTCCCAAAATCACTGCCCTAGAAAGGCAACATCTGGCTAAGCAAATGCAAGACATGAATAATATGTTGGAAACAATTCTCTGAGATTCTGTCCCCTAGGTATAGGCTGGAAGGGCAGTGGAGAGCAGAGGAGGATGTCTTTGAATAATCCATATGCCTGCCCCCCATACCTCAAAGACTTCATCCTCCTTTTTCTGCAGCCTGGCTCTCCAAAGAAGCCACTTATCTCCAAGGGTTTAGAACCACCAGCATGCGAGCTCAGAATTACGGTGAGGGAGCATGTACACTACCACTAATGATTTCCATGGGAGATGCTCACAGTCAACTCAACTTTGAGAAAACATTAAGCTTATGAGCTGGAGTTGGCTTGTACTTATCCAGGGCATTCAGCTAACAGTAACAATTAAACAATAATATACATTCCTCCAGATATATATCATAATCCTAAGACTAATGAAGATGAGTAACAAAGCAACAGCCTATTTAACTGGAAAATGAGCCTTCTGAACACTTGAGTTTCCCACAAGAAAGAGATCAGGAGGAAAAAGAAAATAACACTGGACAAACAAGAGGTCAGAAGTAACTTTCCTCATCAAGACCTAAAGGTCTAGGCCCAGGCTGCATTCCACCAAGTAGAAGGGCCCTAGTAAACACCTTGAGCTGTCCATGTAGCTGCACTCACATACCATAAAACGATTATAGCAGGTTTGCTAAGAAACAATGGAGACCCAATTATGCACTATCTAAACGAGATAAATAGAGAATATAAACATGGAAACCTAAAAAACGATTAGATTAACCCCAAAGAAAGTAAAGGAGGCCAGGCGCGGTTGACTCACACCTGTAATCCCAGCACTTTGGGAGGCTGAGGCAGGCAGATCTCCTGAGGTCAGGAGTTCAAGACCAGCCTGGCCATGGTGAAACCCCATCTCTACTCAAAATAAAAAAGTAGCTGGATGTGGTGATAGGTGCCCGTAATCGCTTGAACCCAGGAGGCAGAGGTTGCAGAGAGCCGAGATTGCACCATTGCACTCCAGCCTAGGTGACAAGAGCAAAACTCCATCTAAAAAAAAAAAGAAAGGAAGGAACAAGAAAAGAAGCCAGATGGTACAAATGGAAAACGAGGAGCACAAAGGTACACTTAAACCCAACTACATCAACAATTATGTTACATATAAAAGGAGGGGCCAGGTGCAGTGGCTCACACCTGTAATCACAGCACTTTGGGAAGCCGAGCTGGGCAGATCACGAGGTCAGAAGATGGAGACCATCCTAGCTAACACGGTGAAGCCTGGTCTCTACTAAAAAAATACAAAAAATTAGCTGGGCGTGGTGGCTGGGGCCTGTAGTCCCAGCTACTTGGAAGGCTGAGGCAGGAGAATCGTGTACGTTGCAGTAAACTGAGATCACACCACTGCACTCAGCCTGGGCAACAGAGCAAGACTACGCCTCTCAAAAAAAAAAAAAAAAAAAAAAAAGGAAGCAACCTAATTGGGAGGAACAGACTGCCAGACAGGATAAAGCAAGACCCAATTATGCACTATCTAAACGAGATATAGTTTAAATATAAAGATGTAGGATAAAGGCATAAGGATAAGAAAAGAAAAACTATGTAAACAGTAAGCAAGCATAAGAAAGCTTGCATGACTCATGAGGTAAAATGATAAACTGGGGTATATTCTTACCCCAGTTTACTTGTTACTCCACAATAAAAACGAAAAACAAAACCTACTCATATATATTATAACTGGGATGAGTCTCAAAATGATTATGCTGAGTGAAAAAGGTGCTAAAGAGTACATGCACTATGACTGCATTTATATGAAATTCCAGAACAGGCAGAAGTATTCAACGGAGCAAGTCACCTATTTATTCACTCAAATATTTTAACTTTCAGTCAGAGAGCTTTCAGTCTACGCAGAATGCCTTCATAACCCGAAAAACTCAATCACTTACACAATTATTCAAAAATTCTTTACTGAGCAGCTGTGACTATGCTTTGGGAATGAGCACTGAGGCTGCAGCAGCTAGCACTGTGTGTTGTCGAGGAGATCACTTTCTAGGGGAGGAAGACAAGAAAAACATCAAATGTGTAAAAAATAAAAATATACAACATGCTCGCTGCTATGTGAGAAATTTAACAAAGTGATATACAGAAGGACACGGCAGCTACTCTGATGGCGTGGTGGTTTGGGAGGTGCTATAATTTAAGCTCTGAGACCTGAATGACAAGAAGATAGCCATGTGAGAGGTGAGGAAGGCACTACAGGAAAAAAAAAAAAAAGGGACATGTTTTCAAGAGATCCAAAATTCTACTCTTTGGAGAAATTATTTTTCTACCATTCAAACTGCATATGGCCAAGCGTGGTGGCTCAGGCCTGTAATCCTAGCACTTTGGGAGGCCGAGGCGGGTGGATCACATGAGGTCAGGAGTTTGAGACCAGCCTGACCAACACAGTGAAACCCCATTTCTACTAAAAATACAAAATTAGCCGGGCATGGTGGTGCACACCTGTAATCCCAGCCACTTGGGAGGCCGAGGCAGAAGAATCGCTTGAACACGGGAGGCAGAGGTTGCCGTAAGCCAAGATCACTCCAATGCACTCCAGACTGGGAAACAAGAGCAAAACTCCATCTCAAAAGAAAAAAAAACAAAACAAACAAACAAAAAAAACCACGATGTAAGCATCAGATAACGCAATCTGAGGAAAAATGTAGGTCTGACAGCAGAAGAAAGGATAAAGAGCAACTCAGTAATTTTGCTCTGCATATTCAGAAGCATTCCCAAATGGGCCAGAGAAAGTACAAGGCCAATCAAAAATCAAATATTAGCCAGGGAGAAGAAACACTGGCCTCAATTCCATCAGAAACACTGGTGAGTTTCTATTTAACTCATCAATCTGCTTCATGTTTTAGAGAAACTATACCTAGAGCAAAGATTTCCTGCAGCGATGAGGGTTATGTCTCGTGTACAAAAAACTCAAGAGTTGGTTGCAAATAAGGCGGCCTGTTGTTGCTGAGCCAGTGGCATGTGCCTATAGTCTCAGCTACTACTATACTCTGGAGGCTGAGGCAGGAGAATTACTTGAGCCCCGCAGTCTGAGGCTGTAGCATGCCATAACTGCACCTATGAATAGCCACTGCACTCCAGCCTGGGCAACATAAAAAAAAAAAAAGCCTGTTGAAACCCCAATTTTCATATGAAATTCATACCTTACATCACTTCCTTGCAAAGACCATTTGAGACAGCTTTGAAATTACAAAATGGAATAAAGCAAAATAAATACATGTATACATATATACGTATCTACACACAATTTTTTTTTGCCTCTAAATCAAGGTAAAAGAAAGGTGAGCAGGATGAAGAGACAGAGGTAAGTAAAGATTAGATGCCCAGAAATGCACAATTATTCACTGTGGCTCAACCTCAAATCAACCTTTTCCATATTATCTGGTTTGAACTCAGCCGAGCCACAGACATTGAAGAGAGCAGTCATTTATTTCAAGCCTGGAGCTGTTCATAAAAATTAAAAAAAAAAAAAAAATTCCTAGGCCAGGAGCGGTGGCTCACGCCTGTAATCCCAGCACTTTGGCAGGCTGAGGTAGGAGGATCACCTGAGGTCAGGAGTTCGAGACTAGCCTGGTCAACATGGTGAAACCTCATCTCTACTAAAAATACAAAAATTAGCTGGGTGTGGTGGTGCGCACCTGTAATCCCAGCTACTCGGGAGGCTGAGGCAGGAGAATCACTTGATCCCAGGAGGTGAAGGTTGCGGTGAGCTGAGATTTAAAAAAATCCTATTCTCCCTTAAGCCTTATTAAAGGAAAGATCTTAAAAGTGAAAGAGGAAAAGGGAGATAGAAATGTTAGCCAGTTGTACATCAATAAATAGTATCATCACATCATTCAAAGATGACCCTAAAAAAATTAATCTGAGTCTATTCAAAGATGGTCAAATTTGCCAGTGACACAGAAAGAAGATGAAGCAGCAGCCATTTACTGGTTCACGCTCCTTGCCTGAAGCAAGAAAGGATTTCATTTTGCCTACTCTAGTAACTGGATTTACTCTCTTCCTTCTGAATCTCAAAGGACTTCCGTATCAATTAAGTCATGCTGTCTCAGAACAAACATTAACCATTATTTCCATACTTTAACAAACCGATGTAAATAAACTCCACACCCCTGGAGTGGGGAACCTCTCTTCCTAATTTGAACTTAAATATCACCTCGCAACACTCTACCTTCTAAAATACTTTGTACATTGTCCTTGTGGGAGACAATAATAAAGTACAAGGTTAAGAATCTAGGTCCTGACAATAAATGATTCAAATTCCAGCTCAGTCACTTAACATGTGGGTGTGATTTGGGGCAGGTTCTGAAACATCACCAACGCTGGACTCCTTCATCTGTGCATTGGGAAAGATAACAGTATATTCGAACTTTAATGGGTTCTGTGAGATTTAAATGACACCCATACTAGGCTCTCAATTATGTATTAAATGAATAAATGCATTCGTGGAAACAGTGGTTCCCAAGCAGGCAGTTCTGCTCCCAGGGGACATCTAACAATGTCTGAAGCCATTGGCGGTTGTTACATCTTGTGGGGTGTGCTACTGGTATCTAGTGGGTAGAGGCCAGGGATGCTGCTAAACATCCTACAGTGCACAGGGCAGCCCCCACAACACAGAACTATCTGACCCAAAATATCAACAGTGCCAAGACTGAGAAACCCTGCTGACAGTACAGTACCTGGCCCATGGAAAATGCTGAGAGTTACTATAATTTATCTTTCCACTAAAATCCCCAATCTTTTGACACCTCTTTGACAACCAGCCGCATATCGTGCTAAATAAATTAAAAAATGTTCCAACGTGAAATCACAGATTATGATCATGGCAGCAATACAGATCTCACAAATTGGGATCCCAAAAGACCCACCGTTGATTTGGGAGACCAGAAGTACACCTGAAATACAAAGTTAATTTTGTATGTGTGTACATTCCTGAAAAGACACACATGAGCTTTCATTTACCTACTCCCTACACCCCAGCCTACTGTCAGGTCTTTTTATCAATTCCAGGGAAACACCAAGCTTGTCCAGCCTCAGAACCTCCACATTTGCTGTTCGCTCTACCTTGGACACGCTCCCCCCAGATCTTCCCAGCGCTGGTCCCTTCTCCTTTTTGTATAAGCTTCAAATGTCACTTCCTTAGGAAGTCTTTCCTCACCGCCATCGTTTCTATGCCCTGCATAGCACTGAAGCTTTAAAAAATTATATTATGTTTACTTGCTCACTGTCCCATCCACTCAAGGGAGCAAAGAGTTCGCCTGGACAAGTGTCCGGCACATAGTAGGTGCAGATAAATAATCGTTAGATCAGGCCGGGTGCCGGGGCTCTAGGCTGTAAATCTCAGCATTTTGGGAGGCCAAGGCGGGTGGATCACGTGACGTTAGGAGTTCGAGACCAGCCTGGCCAACATGGTGAAACCCTGTCTCTACTAAAAATACAAAAATTAGCCAGGCATGGTGGCGCGAGCCTGTGATCCGAGCTACTCGGGAGGCTGAGGCAGGAGAACCCGTTGAACCCGGGAGGCGGAGGTTGCAGTGAGCCGAGATCGCACCACTGCACTCCTGCCTGGGCGACAGAGCGTGACTCCGTCTCAAAATAATAATGATCGTTAGATCAATGAGAGCGGGAATTCTAAAAGCGGTCTGGAACTCTCAGACGGTTGTGGATCTCTTACACCGGAAGCTTAAAGGGAATAAAATCGGTGAGAAATGAGGGTCCTACAGCCTGGGCCGAAGTGACAGGTCCACCCCTAGAGACTCCCACAGGTGAGGAGCACCCCTGACCCTCCTCCCTCGGCACTAAAGCGGGACGACGGAGCTCAGGGCTGCACCCGGAAGCCTGGCCATAATGTCCGCGGGCGGGCCGGGGCAAGGGGAAGGTGGGAGGCCGTGGCTGCAGGCTCCAGGAGGGGCCAGCAGTCCTGGGCAACGTCAGGCCCGACTTCCCCGGCGGAGGCCGCTGCGACCCGGCCCTGCAGGCTCCAGGCGGCAGAGCAGGGGGAGCGCCGCACCAGGGCCCCGGGGTCCGGGCCGCCTCACCTGCAGGTGAACTTGAGGGCGAGGAGCAGCGCGCAGCCGAGCGCCACGGCCCCGCAGAGCAGCTCGGGCCGCTGGCGCGCCATGAGGGAGGCGCCACGCAGCCCGCGACGGAGTCGCCCCGCCGAGGACGCTGTGGCCGGGGCCGGGCTCGGGCTGAGGCAGTCGGAGCCCGCGGGGCCGCCGCCACCCCCTCCCTCGTCCTCGGCGTCCTCGCTGCTGCTGCTGCCGCCGCCGCCGCGGCCTCCGCATTCCGACATTACATGCTCCCCGTCGCCGGCTTTATGCCGCCGCCTCGGGCCCGAAGGCCCGGCCCGGCCCGTCGCTCCCCAATCCCGCAGCTCGCCGCGCCCGCTAACCCGGACACTCCACGTCAGCCGCGCCGCCGCCTCAGGGTCCGCCCCAGCTGACACCCCAGAGCACACGGCTCCTCCCACCGCTCACTGAGTCCGCGCGGGCGCCGACACTGCCCAAATCCCCGCCCCCAACGGGCCACGCCCTACACACTACGTAAATGCGCGGAAGCCTGCCCCGCCCGCAGCCCCGCCTTGGTCTCACCGGCCGCGACCTCGCTCGCGGAGTCTGCGCAGGCGCCGTCGCGGGACGTGGAGAAACTGCTGCTTTGGGATCAGGCCCGCGGGGGACATTTGGAACGTTGATACCACTGTAGTCTCGTCTCGCCGCGCTGGGTTTTAGGAGCCGTAACGACAGCAGCAATCGTGTCCATTCTCACTACAGGCCCCGAAGCACGTAGGTGCCGTTTTTTATCCCCACTTAACTGAAGGAAAAAAAAAAAAAACACAGTTACAGGCGCAGTGGCTCGAGCCTGTAATCGCAGCACTTTGGGAAGCCAAGGCGGGCAGATTATATGGGACCAGGAGTTCGAGACCAGCCTGGCCGACATGGTGAAACCTCATCTCTGCTGAAAATACAAAACTATTAGCCGGGCTTGGTGGCGGGCGCCTGTAATCCCAGCTGCTGAGGCAGAGAATTGCTCGAACCCGGGAGGCGGAGGTTGGCAGTGAGCGGAGATCGCGCCATTGCACTCCCGCCTGGGCAAGAGAGAGAGAGAGAGACTCTGTCTCAAAAAAAAAAAAAAAAAAAGACTTGTCCTCCAATGTCAATAACTACAAACTAGACAAACTTTCGAGGGCATTAAGACAATATGGTGTTATGCCACAAACAGAAGGCACAGCAAACAGCCAGTAGTTGAGACGCCACCGCTGCCACAGGTCAGCTATGTGACCCAGGTGCAAATCTCATGACTTCCTGTCTGGTTCTGCTTCTGTGGATGTAGAATGGGGCAATCAATGGCTGTCTTGCTCGGTTGGCCATTTAATGTGTCAACAACCCAGGCCCAACATGTTGGGAGTTCATGTACACCAACGATTTTCCTACTTGTTTTCTGTATCTCCTTTTTTTTTGGTTGTTTTTTGATACAGGGTCTGGTGTCACCCAGGCTGGAGTGCAGTGGCGCAATCATAGCTCACTGCAGGCTTGACAACCCCAGCTCAAGCGATCCACCCCCCCTCAGACTCCCAAGTAGTAGGCAACACAGATGTGTGCCGCTACGCCCAGCTTTTTTTTTTTTTTTTTTAGTTTTTTGTAGAGACAAGGTCTCTCCATGTTGCCTAGGCTGGTCTTGAACTCCTGGGCTCAAGCGATCCTCCCACCTCGGCCTCTCAAAGCATTAGGATTATGTAAAAGCATGAGCCACTTCACCCACCTGTCGCATCTTTTTGTTCCTTCTTTACTGCCTTATTTTGCAGAAAGTAGCTATTTTCTAGTATAACATTAATTCCTTTAATTATTTTTAACTTGTCTCTCATCCCCTTTGTTATTATTACCCTTACTATCTATGTTACAAACCCAACCATACAGTGTTAATCTTGTTTTAAAAAGCTAAGAGAAAAAATATAGAGAGTTTTTTTAACCTTCTAATTTGCCATTTATACTTCTGTTGATTCCTTTGTGTAGATTAGAATTACACAATTTATTGCTATAGAAAATAAATATGGTCAAAAGTCACCAGTGTCCTCATTCACTGTAGGTTGCTGGAACAGAATTTACCCTACACTTCCGTAAGACATCTGACATTTGCACAGGGCTTCGTAAGGTCCAAAGTACTTTTGTTGTCTGTGGTTTGTCTCACAAAACCCACAGTCCTTTGTGAGCAAATGCAAGGCAGTGTCATACTGGCCGGAAAACCACCCTGGATTAATAAAAGAATGCCTCCTTTCCTCTTCACTTTCTGAGCAACTGGGGCGCTGCTCTGGCAGCAGAATGTTCTTTTTTATTTTTTGTAGAGATAGGATCTCACTGTGTTGCCCAGGCTGGTCTTGAACTCCTGGCCTCCAGTGATCCTCCTGCTCTGGACTCCCAGAGTTCTGGGATCTCAAGTATGAGCCACTGCAGCTGGCCCAGAACGTTCTTCCGAAACAATTATAAATTTGTTTCAAAATACACTAGGCCTTTGGGGTCAGGCTGTACTGCTTTTCAAAGGTTAGGTTAGCCCTAACTTGTCCACACCAACTTGTATCTGAGCTTTTCCTAGCCACTTTTTTTTTTTTTTTTTTTTTTTATTTTTCTGAGATGGAGTCTCACTCTATCGACCAGGCTGGAGTGCAGTGGCACCGTGTCGGCTTACTGCAACCTCTGTCTCCTGGGTTCAAGCAATTCTCCTGCCTCAGCGTCCCAAGTAGCTGGAATTATAGGTACCCACCACCACGCCTGGGTAATTTTTATATTTTTAGTAGAGACAGGGTTTCACCATGTTGGCCAGACTGGTCTCAAACTCCTGACCTCAGGTGATCCACCCGTCTTGGCCTCCCAAAGTGCTGGGATTACAGGCATGAGCCACCACTCCCAGCCTCTTGGCTACTTTTTATACCAAGATCAAGTTGCTGGGGGTTTGAGGAGGGAATGGGGCAGAAGAATATACGTGTCATGTGCTGTAACAGTGGTCCCAGAAAATTATGATACTGTTTTTATTTTACCTTTTCTTTTCTTTGACAAGAGTCTTGCTCTGTCAACCAGGCTGGAGTGCAGTGGCACCATCTTGCTTCACTACAACCTCCACCTCCTGGGTTCAAACAATTCTCATGCCTCTGCCTCCCAAGTAGTTGGGATTACAGGCGTGTGCCACCATGTCTGGCTAATTTTTGTATGTTTTATAGTGATGGGGTTTTGCCATGGTGGCCAGGCTGGTGAAGTCCTGACCTCAAGTGATCTGCCTGCCTTGGCCTCCCAAAGTGCTGAGATTAAAGGCGTGTGCCACCAGGCCCAGCCCACTATACCTTTTCTATGTTTGGGTAAATTTAGATACACAAATACCACTGTGTTACAGTTGTCTAAGATATTTAGTATATAACATGTTGTACTGGTTTGTAACCTAGAGCATATAGTATATAGCAATAGCCTAGGCATGTAGTAGGCTATATTGTCTAGGTTTGTGTGCGTGTACTCTATGGATATTGACACACCACTGATATCCCCTAACAATATGTTTCTCAGAACATGTCCCTGTGATGCATGGCCATGTATTTCCTCCATATTAATCCTTCCTTGCAGCCAGAGAGAACTAATGCTTATTAATTTTGATTTTGTTTTTTTCAAGACAGTCTCGCTGTGTCGCCCAGGCTGGAGTGCAGTGGTGCAACCTCAGCTCACTGCAACCTCTGCCTCCCAGGTTCAAAAGATTCTCCTGCCTCAGTCTCCCGAGTAGCTGGGACTACAGGTATATACCACCATGCCCAGCTAATTTTTGTATTTTTTTTTTTTTCTTGAGACGGAGTTTCACTCTTGTTACCCAGGCTGAAGTGCAATGGCACAATCTCGACTCACCACAACCTCCGCTTCCTAGGTTCAAGCGATTCTCCTGCCTCAGCCTCCCGAGTAGGTGAGATTACAGGCACACGCCACCACTAATTTTGTATTTTTAGTAGAGACGGGGTTTCTCCATGTTGATCAGGCTGGTCTCAAACTCCTGACCTCAGGTGATCTGCCCACCTCAGCCTCCCAAAGTGCTGGGATTACAGGCATAAGCCACCACACCCGGCCTAATTTTTGTATTTTTAGTAGAGACGGGGTTTCACCATGTTGGCAGTGCTTATTAATTTTGAAAGCTTCCAAGCCTTTACTTGGAATGCCTAACAACACAAGACAGCAGATTATGCAGAAGAAAAGGGCAGGCCCTTGGCCTGGGTACTCTGGACAATGGTGTTTGTGTTCTTGGAGACTTTGTATCATCACCACAGAATGGGTTTTCTAGAAATGGGCATTCATCCCTTGCATCAAATAAAGCAGTGCGTATTCTCATCTCCCCAGGCCAACTAAAGTGTCTGAGGCATCAGGCATGGTGGTTCTCACCTGTAATCCCAGCACTTTGGGAGGCCAAGGTGAAAGGATTGCTTAAGCCCAGGAGCTGGAGATCAGCCTGGGCAACATAGTGAGACGCCAACTATACAAAAAATAAAATACAAAAAACATTAGCTGGGCACGGTGGTGCATGCCTGTAGTCCTAGCTACTCGGAGGGCTGAGGCAGGAGATCACTTGCGCCCAGAAGGTTGAGGCTACAGTGATACAGTGAGCTAAGGTTTTGCCACTGCACTCCAGCCTAGGGACAGAGCAAGACTGTCTCGAAAAAAACCAAAAGAGTATTTGAAACCTGCCCTAACTGCCCTCCTTCAATTTCCCAATTGGTGCAGGTCCCTGGAGCTAAATCAAAACAAAGGCTGGGGGCTCTGTGCAAACAGTCCTCACAGGATAGGAAGCTCCAGGAAGGGTGAGTGATGGAGAGGGGTGGGCACCTCTGGGCAGTGGCCCCCCTGTCCAGGATGCCTCGGTGACAGAGTGGGAGCACTGTGCAGAGAAGGGGTCCCTGAGGGTAGGAAAGATTCACCTACAGCCTCCACACCTTCAGGGCAGATGAGATAGCTCACTACAGCCAAACAAAACTGAGGTCACAACTCTTGCACAACACTGTTGATATTCACAATAGCCAAAAAGCAGAAACAACCCAAATGTCCATCAACCGACAGATGGATTTTTAAAAAATGTGGTCCATCCAACTAGTGGAGTATTATGTGGCTATAAAAAGTAATGACGTACCATTGGACACAGTGGCTCATGCCTGTAATCCCAGCACTTCGGGAGGCTGAGGCTGGTGGATCACCTGAGGTCAGGAGTTCAAGACCAACCTGACCAACATGGTGAAACCCCCATCTCTACAAAAAATACAAAAAAAATTAGCTAGGTGTGGTGGTGTATGCCTGTAATCCCAGCTACTCAGGAGGCTGAGGCAGGAGAATTGCTTGAACCCAGGAGATAGAGGTTGCAGTGAGCCAAGATTGTGCCATTGCTCTTCAGCCTGGGTGACGAGCGAAACTCCATCTCAAAAAAAAAAAGTAATGAAGTACTGATACATGCCACGACACAGGTGAGCCTTGGA